CCCTTAAAGGTCTGTGAATGAATGCTCCCAAGCTAACCGAGCTCTCAGCATCTGGAAGGCAGGGGTGAGGATGCGTGACCTTCCCTCTGTTGGCGGGTCTCTGCTAGCAGCATCCTCAGCTTCGGGGCGTGAATGGCACTTACTGTGTGGGCAGTGGCCCTGTAGACTTGAGTCACAGCTCCACTGTGACTTGAATTCAGTAGCTGCAATGCTATTTTCTATGGAGGGTCATTTTGAGAGTAATTTTTGGAATTACTCAGCCATGAGCTCATCCCTTCCAAGATCTTGGAAGTATCCCATATTTGGAGTCGAAGTCCTTTGTTGCTCTGCACTGAAAGTGCTTTCTGTTCGTGGTGCTGATGCACCTCAAGTCAAGAGAAGCTTTTCTCCCTCAGCGGCCCAGAGGTGGGGGGCCGAGGCTGTGAGGGCAGCTGTGTCATCCTTGATGTGTGGCTTTCAACTATGTCCTAAATGGCTGCTCCCCTCAGCCTAGCCAGCGGGCAGGCAGCACAGGCCTGGCACCTGGCACTTGTCATTGTGCTTTGCTGCCAAGTGAAGCTCCCGCTGGGAGAATGCTGGGGGCTTGTTCTGTAGTGGGGAGCTGGGTGCCCATCCAAAACCTGGAAGTTTTTTCTTTGAAAGGAGGTGGAGGAATGGTGGAGAGAGTCTCTGTCACACCATTTCTTCACTTGTTTTCTGCTGAGTTTCTTTGGTTTCCTCTTACGCTTCTTCCTGGATGGTGTGTGTTAAAACTTCCCCACCAGTTTTCTTGTATGATTTTACTGCCCTCTGAACAGGGTGCTCCATTTGAAAGTGGTGTTAAGGTTACCATTTTTATTAGAATCAGTTATTTCCCCACTTATTCCTCAAGGAACTCTAAGCAGCATGGGAATTTTATGCCCCTCACTCACCTACATTGAAGTAGGAAATAGATGAAATGCAGACAGCAAACTGAACATCTTCTAGGTGTGGAAGAAGCCTGTCACCCTTAGTCTAGGGCCTGCTTTCTGCCAAAGAGTCTTGTCTACAAGCGATGGAGCGTGACGTACGGCCCGCGGCGGGCGCCCCCTCAGCAGAGGAGAGTGTTGTGGGTGGAAGGCTCTGTGTAGGTGCCGAGGGGATCATGGCCGGCCTGCCTCCTCCCCGGAGGCCCAGTGCAGGGCATGCACAAGGGCCGCGGGGATGGGGCAGACCGGTACCCATCGAAAACTGGGCCTAGGCAAAGCAGGTGTTTCAAGAACAAAAGAGAAAAAATACAAATGTGAGAGAGCGTTACAGTCCAGACAGAAGCCATGAAGAGAGATCAGCTGCAGACAGACCTCCGAGAAAGACTGACGGCTGAGATGAAAGCAAGGAAGCAGCCACAGGAGAAGCAACTGCGTCTCCGGGAACCCGGCCCAGAGATGTGAGACGTTAATGGTCACGTTTCTAGCTTGATCCTAATGCCACCTGTAACCATCTCATGTGTGTGCTTTAAACTGTGTGGAGGTAAAATCACCAAACCAATTGCACATAATTAAACTGTGCCCTTTGCACCTGTGAAACCGTCCCCACAGACAAGACAGAGAAATGCCTCCTGCTGCCCCCCTGGAATCCTTCTGTGGGCCCGTGACCCCTGGTGGCCCCTCCTCCTAGGGGCAGTGCTTCCAGACCTGACTCCCCTTCAGTCCCTATGCACCTGCCCTTCCGCAAGGCCTGCCGTCTCTCTTTGAGGCTCCCTCCCAGCTGCCTCCTTGCAGCCCGGAGGCCCGCAGCCTACCCCAGGGTCTCAGGCCATCCTTCCCCGTTTCAGGTTACTTGAATATGTTTAGGATTCTGTTTTACTGGTCTGCTGGCTTTTTAGCTGTTCTGCTTTGCTTCTTTAGCAGTTGCTGGAGATTGCAGTACACATTTAACTGTAAGTGTGCTATGAAAAGTTAAATTGAATCACTTAAAATGCTAGAGCCCTATCTTTGAATATTTCCATTTACCCCACTTATCCTTTATGCTAAAAGTATATTGTGCATATTTTGTATGTCTGTTTTAAATGCACTTACATACTTTCTTATGCTATACATATATATAAGAAATACTATATATTTCTTATATCTATGTATATTGTAAACTGTTCCAATGTTTTATCTGTATTTTAAGGAAATTAAGTGAATAAACAGGGTTCTTGTTTTTTTTTTGATATTTACCACTTCTGTTCTTCCCCATTCCTTCCTAAAGACTGGAGCTCCTACTGGGTATCATTCCCCTTCAGCCTAAAGAACTTTTGTTAACATTTCTTGTAGTGTATGTCTGCTACTACTGAATTCTCATTTTCATTTATCTGAAAATATCTTTAGTTCACCTGTTCTTGTGAAGAATGTTTTAGATGAATATTAAATTCTTGGTTATCAGGTTCTTTTCCCTAACAGCACTTGAAATATTTTGTTCCACTGTCTTCTGCTTCCAGTGTTCGTAATGAAAAATTGCTGTTAAAATTTTGATAGTTGTTCCCTGTATAAGATGTCATCTTTCACCATGTATTTTCAAGATTTTTCTTTAGGGTTTTTAGCAATATGGCTTTGATATTTTTAAATTTTATTTGTCTGTTTAAGGGTTTGCTGAGTTTCCTGAATTTGTACATTGGTGGCTGTCAACAAATTTGGCTTATTTTCAGTTGTTATTTCTTCAAATAGTCTTTCTTCCCCACTCCACTCCTTCCAGGAGCCCAGTTACCAGCATGTTAGACCTCTTGGTATTTTCTCAGGGGCACTGGAACCATATCCTTTTCAGAATCTTTTTTTTCTCTGTGTTCTTCACTCATTATCTCTTGATTTGCCTTCAAGTTCACTGACTCTATTCTGTAATTTCCAATCTGCTGTCAAGCCCATTTAATGACTTTATCCCAGATGTATTTTTTCAATACTAGAATTTCCATTTGGTTCGTTTTCTTAAAAATCTTTTTTTTCTATGTTGTGGTTTCCTGTTTGTTTATTCTTTAGGAGAATGTTTTCCTTCAAGTCTTTGAGATACTATAATAACTGCTTTGAAATTCTAATCTCTTAATTCTGATGTCTGATCATCTCAGAAATCATCTTTGAGTTCTTGTTTATTCATAAGTAGAAATTTGGGTTATACCTTAGCATTATTAGTGATAGTATTGTAGAGAGTCTGAATTTTGTTATATTCTTCTGCAGAGTTTTGGGTTTTTTTTGTTGTTGTTCGGGTTTGTTTTAACTGGTAGGTAACTTAGCCCAAGTCGCGCTCTGCAGCCTCTCCTACCTGCAGTGGGCGCCGCACAGGCCTGTGCTCAGTGTCTGCAGCCGAGCTGGGTGCCTGACGTGCACCCTGTGCATGAGTTCAGGGCTCAGAACGGGCGTGTGCGCAGGACTCGGGGGGCTCTGCTGGGGCCTCTCTCTCCTTTCTCACTCTTCAGCTTCCATGGTTGCCCTAGTCTCTGACCTCTGGTTCTTCATGTCTGAAGTGTATGATTTCCTGTCTGAGTTTTAGCAGTGATGCTAAAGCTTTTGTTCTCAGTTAAAAAACAAAACCAAAACTATAAAAATGGCCAACTCTTTGTGTTGGGGGGCCAGTTTTGATGACTCCTCAGGAGGGCTCCCAGGACTCAGCATGTAGTCCTGCTCAAGGCTGTGGCTTATTACAGTGGAGGACATGACACAGCCCACAAGGGAAAGGGCACACTGGTGAATGCAGGCCCCCAGGTCCCCCAGTTAGCTCACATAACATGTGCCGGGTACCCCCAGCAACACATGAGGACATGGGGAATGCTGTCCACCAGGGAAGCTTCTGGACACTCATGGGGGTGTTTACCAGGGGCTGGCCCCGTAGCCATCCTTGGCCAGCACATATCAAAATGCCAGACTCCCAGAAGGAAAGCAGGTGTTCAGCATGAACCCTATTGCTTGAATAAACAGTTCAGGCACAGTGAGCCTTTCTTATCCAAGAATGGTGGGAACCCTCCCGAAATCCCCACTCCCAGACCCCAGCCAAGAGCCTGCCTTGCTTGTGAGTAGACCTGCTCTGTTAAGGTTTCCGCACAGCCACTCCCTTGGCCAATGCGTCTTTACAGCAAAAGTATTGGCAGTGTTATTCTAGGGCCTCAGCTCCCTGGGTGAGACCAGCCTGCTCTGATGTGGTCACGTGTGCACTCGGCCCTGGCCATAGCCAGCTGGGGCAGTGCCCATTCCCCATGAAGTACACCTGGGGAAACCTCCCCTGTCAGGCGTGCTGTACGCTTAGCAGCCCCTTTGACTTTGAGGGTCCAGAAAGCTGCAGAGGCTGGCAGGGGAGCACAAGCCCTCTTCCTCTGGTGTGAACGGTTCCCCTGAGCCTCCCCGCTGTTGAGCTTTGTCTGCTTGCTGTTGTTAGGGGAGCACCAGGCACCATGTAGAAGGCCTGTCTTTTCCGTCACCCTCCCCTCTGCCACACACCTTTCATCTGGAAGGGTTTTGTGCAGAAAAGAAAGCATTTTTGAAAGAATATTTCATGTTACTTACCCAGGAAGGCATATCATGTTTAGGAATCGGTCAAGAGGAAACCTGAGTCTTCAGACCTTTTCTGAGCGCTTTTGCATAGCTGCCATCCCCTTCGTCGGATCTTTTGTCTCGCCCAGACCAGATCCCTCCCCTTCTGGGACGGCAGCACTTCATAGCTGAACCACCTCACTAAGGCTTGTGTGCAGGAGGAGGGTGAGGGAATGGGGCCTGGCTCGTGGGGCCTGGCTGCAAACTGCAGGTGCCCTAGGGTGCCAGCCACAAGTTAACAGCAGTGACACGCCCCTGAAGCAGAAGGGCAGTAGAGGTCACTGTCCTTGTGATGGGCCCCCCACTTGTGGCTTCAGTCAGAGGTCACCTGTTGGGACTGATGGCAGCCTAGTTTCAGGCCCATCAGAGCACAAACCCAGATGGCGCACTCAGTGTCCAGGATGTTTCCGTGTTTTGCGCCTCTCCCAGCAGTTCAAATTCTGTGCCAGTCGCAGTTGTGACGTGTGAGCCTGTTCCTGCCCTCAGCTTGGACTGCCTGCCTTGCTGTTGAAAGCACTGCCAGCCTGCATCGGGTCAGCAGCAGAGTGAGGTGGGGGCGCTTGGGGTCTGGGATCCCCCTTCGGGATGGTTAGACTTCCAGGCTGTGCAGTGAAAGCTCGTGGGAGACCCGGTGTCAGGAGAGGCCGGAGCAGGGCCGGTGGGGAGCGCAGTCGCCTGAGCGAAAGGGAGTGCCGAGGGCAGGGGGGGGGGGCGGCGGGGGGCCGGCCTCTTGCCAGGCCGGGCTGGGGCTGCAGCCTCCCAGTGGGCGTGGCCCCAGGAAGCTTTACCTGAGTGCGCGGTGAGCTCGGCTTAAAAAGCAGGCAGCTCTCTCCTCTTGTCATTCACTGGTATAGTCACTGGGCTGCTGTGTCATAGTGCAGAAGCTCTCCAGGGGCTCTCTGGCTCCCCAGTTGGGTGCCTTTCAGTTCCCTGCAGGTCTTCTTGATGCCCGCTGTTAGCCCCACAGTACGAGATGGCAGAGAAGGCCCAGGCTTCTTCAGAGCAGCAGAGAAACCAGAGGTGCCCGCTCGGTGAGGGCAGGGACGCTGGTCGCGTCGGTCCTGTGCCGTTGGGATGGACGCAAGCCAGGGTTTGTCCACTCCTCGTTTATGTGGACGCTGTCAGTGTTACCTCACTTAAACTTCAGGCCCTCAGTAAAGACAGCATTTTTAAACTTCTGTATTGTATTTGTATAACCTTTCTGATAGCCAATTAAGAATATTAAAAAAAAACCTGACATATCAAGAATTAAAAGACTTTTAAAACTTTACCCTAGAAAGCTTGAGTATGAGTATCTCCCTTTGTGGATATAATTTACCCAATATTACTTCAATCCATGTCAATCACTTTGAAAAATACACTAGTACAGTTGGGTTGTAGCAAACTTAATTGGTCGCTTCATGTCTGTGCTGCCGTTTGCGTCGCCCTGTAAGAGTTCAGGCACGCGTCATACCTGTATGCTTTAGGCTTCTGCCCTGGGGTGGCAGGCGGGTAGCCTGAGCGAAATTCCACACGGGCTATGGTTTTGTCGAAGAAGTGTTTCAGTATTGTTTGTGATCTCTTGGTAAAAAAATATTCATGTATCATTAAAACTTATTATGAATACATTTTACATTTAATATAATTGGTGTTACTTTGGTAAAATTGTGTAGAGTTTTAAAAACTAAACGTCCTGGACCAACAAACCTACTTTTCTAATTATTTTAAAAGAAACTATTTAAGATCTCATCTTGGGAGACTTACTGTTTAAACTTACATGTTCCCAGTGAGTGGAGTAACCTGAAGCGTATGTCTTTGTGAAAGTAATTGTGACATGTGAATAGTCAAAATCTTGCCACACAGTTTTATAAGTACAGGTCATGGAGATACATGGTTCCGGCACCTGAGAGAAAATGCACTGTCTCCATGGCTGCTCGGAGGGCATCGTTCGTTTATAGCGAATGTAGTAGCTGCTGGAACACACACATGTAAATAAATCCAGGAGTTCACTGAACTGTTTTATAAAACTTACGTGGGATTGTGATGATTACTTGAATCCCTCAGAACACTGATATCCACGTAACTTTTAAACACTCATACACAGCTTCCATCTTTAGAATTGGAGTTGCGGGGCACCAGGTCACATGTGTTTTATAAGCTGCCCCCGAGTGGGTCTGGCCCGCTCCTGTCCTCAGGCCGCAGTAGGTACCCCTGAGGGTCTAGAGAGCCCCCACACCTCTGCGGAGCATAGACAGTGTTCCTGTCAGTCACTCTCCTTCCTCGTTCATGGTGTCGGCGCGCAAAATAGAAGAAAATCAAACATCACTTGTGGTAAATAATATATGAAAAATAATATTTGGTAATTTTGAAGATTTTCCAAGAAATTGTATTTAATTATAACAGCTAATTCAGATATTCTGTATTCCAGGACCTTTTCTCTATCAGTGCTTACGTTTATGCTCCAAAGCCACAACTGGATATTCATAGTTTTGAAGGCACATTTACCAGGGTAAGTTAAATCTTCTGTTAAATACAAATATATTCATTGTGTGTTTCAGTGAAAAATAATAAACCTTTATTTTGAAGGAATAATTAAATCCATAATGATTCAAACAAGTTTTGGACTAACACTGGAAAGCCTCAGGTGTGTTTCAGCTGGATGGGTCTGTCGGTAGCCCGAGGCCCCTCTCCTGGTGAGCTGGAGGGTTTGGGGGGCTCAGTGACCATGGCCTGTAATGGTTTACACGGACAGTATAAGTGCTTTACAGGACTTACGGGGTTTTCGCAATATAGGCCTGTATTTTTAATGGCTGCAGTAATTTTTTAAAGATTTCTGTTGGTGCAGTCAGCTGTGTTTCCTTTGTGGCCACCTGATGGGTGAGGAGCAGTTGTCCTCATCCAGGAAAGCTTTACTCAGGGTGTGTTATGGCCGGACAAGGCGTGAACCCTGGAGGGGGGGTGGGCGTTCCGTGGTCCCTCGATCCCCACCAGCGCTGCAGTGAGAGCAGGTGCAAGGTGTTCATGGGGCACAGGAAGGATGCCCTGCGCTACGTGGCTTGTAATAAGTCCTGAGGAGAGCAAAGATGTTTTTTGTGTTCTTCAAAGAGTATTTTTTTTACACAAAGGCCCCCTTAGTACAATAACAAAGTTGTTAAGCACTCTTAATATTTTGGAATATCATTTGCTTTCTTCCCTTGTGTTACACAGGTTTATACTGCTTATCACTTGCTAAAAGTTGGAAACGTTTGCTGGACAGTGTAGGAAGCGCACTGGAGGCAGAGTGAACGTGAGCGAGAAGCGTGTCTGGAAGCAGCAGGGCTGCGAAGCACAGTTCACACGGGGGCGGGAAGGGCTGCTGAGTGTGCAGGCACGGGTGGGAGGACTGGGGGGTCTTGTCAAAAGGAGGAAGAAGCCGTGGAAGGGTTTTCAGCTGAGAGGAGAAGTCGCACGGTTGGTATTTGTAGAGACTCCTCTGGGCTCCCTCGGGGGATGGCGGCCACCTGAGTGTGGCCCTGTGGCCACAGCCTTCCCAAAGTGTGCAGGCCAGCTAGGGGGGCAGGTGGGATCGGCCTGCAGCTCAGACATGCAGAACAAGTGCGGGGAAAACACTGCGAGCTTCGGTCCCCTCCAAGTAGGAAAGCCATCCAGCAGGGCAGCTGGCTTCAGAGCCAGGACAGCACAGAGGGGCTCATTGCAGGGGCCTGACCTCACGAGGCTCTTTACGAGTGAGGACACGCTGCCCTTGTGTGGACTGTTCGGCACCCCGAGAAGCGCGTGTGGCTCGAGGGCCGCCTGTCCTTGCCTCGCTCTATCTCTGAGAGGGTCTTGTGTTGCTCATGTTAAACATAACAGTTCTCGAGTTCTTGATTATCTAAGGTGATGTCTTTATTTCTGTGTGCATTTTTCAAAAAGGAGGAAAGAAAACTAAGGAACAACTTTTATAAGTAGAAAATGGAATTCAGTTAATATATCAGCTGAACATTTTGAAAAGTGTTCTCTCTTTACATTCCTTTTTTACAGTTAATATACAAAGGCAAAAATAGATGTTTCTTTTGTGTCAACCTAAATAATAAGAATCAGAGCAAATTAGTTCAAGTCCTGTGGCAGCAGCACTGTGTCCCTGCTGTGTGTGCCGAGTCTGACGAATACGCACCCGGAGCGCTGCCTGCTTCTACCTGCCTGAGAGCGGTGCCAGAGTGGCCTGAACTACTGACTGACGGGTTCCACGAGTGGCCCACACTATTACTGATGGCATCAATGTCCCTTAGTGTTCAAGACATAGTTATTCTCTCTGAGGTTTGGAGTTTATAACTCTAGCCTATTTGAAATACTAGCAGTATTCCTCATCCCTAAACACTATATTCCCATATATTCTTTTTTTGTAATGCACCTTCTGCCGTAATTTCTTTTGCAGACCATAGTATACATCATTATTCATGTCTTTTCCCATCAAAATATTCTCCTTTTAAAAAGCAGATCTCCACTGTTTGTTAAATAAGGTACACTATTGAGAAAAGAGCTTGAAATTATAACATTTTGCATTCTTCTTCCCCAAAGCAAATTTATCTTTTCAAACTATGTAACATCAAAGAGAGGGGAACTCAAAAAGCAAGTTATTTGGAGATAATTTCTTTCCCATCTTCCCAATCTATTCTGTACTATATCAGATTGGTAAAGAACTATTACAATAATTTTCTCAATATTAAAAAAATGTTTAATGTTTAAAGTCCATCATTGTTATTACAGAACTGAAAGGGGACTGCATGGCTCTTGTGTGTTCTTCAAGACATGATTGTGTTAGACAAAAAGCATCCCATGATTAAATAGGTGCAGAAGAGTAATGGGAGAACACACTTAAATTTCTAGAATTAAATTGTATAGAACCTTTTATTTGCAGTTCAGAAAACCTTAATGAAGTTTTTATATTTTTTTTAATGTGCTGTTTCTCTTAGAGCTTGACCCAATGAGAAAACTAAAAGATAAGCATGTGTTAGTAAGTTTAAGCATTTCCATATTAAGCGAACCGTAACAACAGTTTTAAACTAGCAAAGTTATACCCATTTGTACGTGTGGTCAGTTGATGAAGTGCAGAGGCCTGGAGGTGGTTCAGAGCTGTGCCGTAGCACAGGACGGCTGAGCAGGGGCAGCAGGCTGCTGGCTTCACAAGGGGTGCCAGGAGGGACAGCTCCGTATCTGCTTGTTCTCTGACTCCTTCACGTGCTGGACACATTTAATGTCTGTGCTGGGTGTTCAGAAGATGAAATTCAACACCATCCTTATTAGCTTACAGTCCAGGGATATGGATCAACATGGGAATTGTTGTGTAACTGAAAATATCTCAAAATTCATGCCAGAGAACTGTTTGTTTCATATCTTAAATGATAAGTGTGCGGGAGACAGGTTGCTGCTACTGTGCTCATAACTGAAATTGACCAAAATGGACCAGAATGACAGTCAAATTCTTTACCTGTCAATCGCAAGCTTTCGGCAGGCCCCAGAGTTCCAAAACTGGTCCATCAGGTGGATTCTGGCCGTGTGGTCGTCCAGGTGGGGAGAGGTTCCCCTGCCCCCTGCTCTGCCATCTTTCCAGAATCCTCTGTGTATTCCCTTTCCACCCCAAGTCAGCAATACCTTTTCACTGCTGTCCAGTTGGGTCCAGCTGGTGAACTTGTTTTCAGTGCTGTAGAAATATGAGGTGTGAGTCAGACAGAAGTTGCTGATTTGCTTCTTTTTTCCTTTTCTCTCTGTGAACAGGAAGACAGTGATCCGCCCATTCATGAAAGTCTCAGCATAGAAAATACGTTGTGGGCGAGCACTGTTGTTGCATCAGGTAAGAAATGAGTTCTGTCTTAGTGTGATTCTCGTGCGGGTTGTGCTCTGTGTATTTGAGCAACTCCAGATAGTCTCCCAAAATGCCTCGCATTACACGTAGGCTCCTCACTAAATGCACCCTCCCATCGGTGTGCGTGGAACACGCCCGGGGAGGCCAGTGCCATGCTCAGCACACGGCCCTTGAGTAGCACAGGTCAAGGCAGTGGGGACTGGGCCCCTTTGTGTAGGACTGCTGAGGTGTTTTGCTGGCTCTGACACCAGTTTCTTGACAAGCTTACCAGTGAGCCGTAATGCGAAGTGGCACAGTAGAGCTGGCACACAAGTGGTGATTGTAGAGGTGGTTTTCCCGCCCCTCCCTTGTCTGACAGAGTCCATGGGGGCCAGTGTGGCGGCTTGTCTGTGGGGGGAAAAACATCAGGGGAGGTGGGCTTTGGGGTAGATTGTGCTGGGCCCTTAGGGGATAGGAGGAAGGTTGAAAGTTTTATTCTGAGTGAATTTGAAGGACATTGGAGTATTTCTAGTGGTCGAACAGGGAGATCACTTCAGTTTACATCTGGAAGATAAATCTCCCTGGGAGGTGTTGGAAGTCTAAAGGACGCCACCTTTTCAGAAAGCTGGCCTTGCTGGCAGCACCAGGAGCGAAGCTGAGCAGCGGGGGACGCTCGGGAGGCTGGTGGGGACGGGAACACTGGTAGGATGACCTTCCTCCCGGTGTCTGACACGGCAGCCCTCCTCTCCTGAAACGGTCAGCCCTCTGGTGCTTCGGCGCGGAACCCCTGCCCCAGCCCCGACACTGGAGGTGCAGCATGGGTCCTGGTCCCAGGAGCTGATGGGCGAGAAGGACATTGACAAAATGAGACAGACGCGTTCAGCGATGCTAAGTATCTCGGCAGAGTACAAAGAAAACAATCCCCAAACCATATCTGCTCAGTATCTGGGGAGACTTCTCTGAGGAAGGGCCATTTAAACGAGATTTAAGACGCACAACCAGGGCTGGATGGGGAGGACGAAGGGGCAGGTGCTGAGGGCCTGGTGCTGAGAGGGACAAAGGCTGGAGAGAGAGCCCAGGGCCATGTGCCTGGTGGGGCCGGCTCGCAGGGCAGCTCCATGCGGCATCCGGGCGGGGCCTGTGTGCACACGAGGGGGGAAGCCCACTGCTGTGGAGTCCACTTCTTCACCCTCTGTGAGGGGAGAGAACGGAGTGGGGCTCTTAGTCTAGTAATGTTTTGTGTCTTTTACAAAAGCTTATTGTATGACAATGTATGAGTTCGAGTTGACGGCTTTAATAGAAATTCTGTGGTTTGATGTTTTTCATACTGATGGATTTTTTTTTTAATTTCTCAAAATGAAAAGAGGGAAAGTAAGGAGAGTGTGCCACAAAGGGTCCTTGGGCTGCGCAGGCCTCAGGGGGTCTTCCCGCATGGAGACCCTGGCCACTCGCGGCTGGGCAAGTGTCAGGATCCTGTCCTCGCTCCTGCGCGTCCCTGTCGTGTTCACCTTGCTGGCCGTGTGGCCCATCCAAGCCTCAGCACAGGTCAGCAAGGTGCCGGCACCGCCACCGTCACTTTGGGGAAGGACCGCGCCCGGGAGGCCCGTTCTGTAGTGCAGTCCGAGATGTGAGCCCAGGTGTGCTGTCCTCCGTCAGTGCTCAGCGCTGGCCTTTGGGAAGGTGGCCACAGCATGCCACGGATAAGGTGATACCTGGCCACAGGTCTTAACATTTTCTCTCTCTCGCTGTTGTGTTGTTTTTTCCATCATATTGATATTCTTTTTAATAAAGGACCAGAGTTGAGTCCATTCTCTTTATGAATTTTATTTGATCTTCTGTTCCCTGTACAGTAGGATGTGTTACTGACCCCCAGTCCTACTGACTTGTGGCCTTTCTCCTCAAAGGGTCAGAAGCAACCTGAGCCGAAGGTCTGTGGGATAACCCAGATAATTCCCCATCCAGTTGCCCTCCTTACCTCAGTACTCTAGTCTCGAGGTGACCATGGCGAGCGCCAGTCCCTGGTTGCCCACTCTGGCTGCGCAGACACACTCCTAGGTCTCACAGTGCACCGGCCATGTTGCTAACCCTTTCTTCTCCTTGTTATATAGAACTCAGGGTTTTTTATCTTCTAAGATAAGTTTGCTAGGGTATTTTATCTTCTAAGAGAATATTTAGACTGCTTTAAAACCATCCATTCCAGAAGTTTAAGTAAAGCACCTTTAATTTTGTGTTTGGAAAATTTTTTAAAAGGTAAGCTTTTTCATTAATTTCAACTTTTTTGAACACATACTTATCTTCATTTAAAACCTTATTAGCTTGAGCAATTGACTGAACTCTGTGTATCACCCAAGTGCCATTTCCTGAGGCAAGTTTGAAAACTTAGATTTCCAGGATTGATGTGAGGGCTCTTACCTGGTTTATGCTGGCTCCCCATGTGGCCCTGGCACCTCTGCGCTGCGCCCGGCAGGCTCTGGGCGCCACACCAACAGTTGGGTCGTCTTCAGTCGGTCGGCAGCCCTCGTCCTTGCTGTCTCTCTGCACCATTGTCTTTGGCAGATCCTGTCTTCCCTTATTCGTGGTGAGGGAGCCACACTGTTTTCAGAATTACCAGGTAACCCCTTTTCCTGTCTCTCTCAGCTGTGCGGAGAGAGTTTGCTCAGCCTTTCAGCCATTACTGGCCATAAATACATCCCCTTTGTCAAAGAGAAGGGAGAATATCCCTAAACTTCCGTACTGACTAGTGATTGTAGCGATCAGAGCATATGATTGTCTCAGAGAAGATAAGTTACTCTAGTACAGCGAGTACTCATTTTCAGGGAGAAAGAAACGCATGTAAGAACCTTTATCAGACTCTCGTAGTTTATGCAAGTAAAACTGCCTGAGGAATTCTGTTAAACTTTTTAATGTGTGGTGTGTTTAAAATGCAAATATTGTTTCTATTATATATATATATGAATGAAATATTTGTTAGGCTTGTTGTTCCCCAAATCTCATTTTGGATACTTTAAGCTATGATGCTTACCTGGACTCAACATTGCTAATAAATCACCTGGATTTTAGGACAATGGTTTCTAGCCTGATTAAGAATTGGTTAGTTCTGCTAATGTTAAAAATGAATTACTTTTGTAATTTGTCTTGTTCTGTGTTTGTGCTTATTAAACATTAGTGACACTGCTATATTCTGATTAAGTTAAACTTAACTGGCAAAATAGGAAGAAAATACTGACAAAGTCAGACTTAATGTTCTGCTTTACTAACAGTAATAAATAGATTTTTTTGGAAGTTTTTATAGCATTACATCATTATGTACTTAGTTAAGTATAAACATTATCTAGAAAGCTTATTTGGATAATGATATAGAGAGAGAGCATTTGTGCAGTTTGAACTAGCTTATGTGCCAGGTGGGGGCTTTCTCTGCTTTCCTGAACAAAGTATTCACTCAAGTCTCAGAGCTTTCCCAGTGGCACACAATTTAAAAAGGGAAAAAAAGGAAATGCTTATACTAAAAATATGTAATGTCTGCAGATATCACTGCTGAGCAGTACTGCATCCAGCATTTTCCTTCTTCCTGAACAAGTGTTATCTGTGTTCTTTGGGAGGAGGCTGTCCATAATGTTACATATGTAAATGTAGCTATCATGGTTTATATAAATCCAAAATATCATTAAGACCGTATTTACTCCCTGGGTCCTGACTTGCTGATTCATTAAATTTCACACAGTAAACTAATGTGATATCAAAGAGTTTCTATGTAGTTATTATGGTTAATTCTGCAATGGTCGTTAATTTCAGTGTTATGGATATATTGTCTTTCTCACCTTAATCATATTTCTCACCTACAAAATTTGCAAAAAGTAGGAATACAAATTACAGAAGACACTAATAAAAAAGACTAATAACATTTAAATTCAAAACCAAATACTGTTTTTATAATATTCTCTTACTGTGTTTGTGCATGTGCTGACATGTCAGTGCAAGCTCTCATACCTGGTAGTATTTTACTCTTCGCAGTGGATGTACACTCGTAGACTCTGGTTCAGAGAAACTGGTTTACCTGGTACCATCTTGGTTTGAAAGTCACACAGTGAGTTTGATCAGTTAGGAATGTAGCCTCTCTTAATTTACCGTCAGTGTCAGTGTCACCATTTTAGTAGACATTGATGGAAACATTGCCTGCTTTCTGTTGTCAATGAGAAGAATATCAGTACATTTTCTTACGTTATATGTAGGTATGTTTGTATTTGTAAGAAATCATTTGAGTTTTCAAGGCTTATTTTTAAAAGTTGAGATTATATTTTCTTGAACTAGCCAAATTAAATATGCTGTTGGATACGTTTATGTATAATTATATAGTATAATATTTTCCATTGAAACAATTAACTAGCAAGTGTTAAAGTGTTACCTGTGCTTCCCCTTTAAAGTGCCTCTGTAAGGACCACTTTCGTGTTTTGCAGGTACTGTAATAGGTGTTGTCATTTATACTGGAAAAGAGACTCGAAGTGTAATGAACACGTCCAATGCAAAAAATAAGGTAGGCGAGCATAAGGTCAGCCATGCTGACGAACCCCGCTCTCCCTTTTCAGTAAGAAAGTACATGTAGTGCCTGCCGTATCCCGAACAGTCCTTCGTTTTAGCTTCATATGTGACATAAAGGTACACTTTCAGAAATGGTGATGGTTCAGATATGAATTCTCTGTGTTGGTGTAACAACATGTTCATACTGAAGTTTCCAAAAGTGTCTTTTCTTGGTTAATCAGTTTTACACGTCTCTTAAATTTTCACTGTCGGATGTATGTAACTTGCCCATAATTTGACAGTTAATTGTGAGTCTCTTAATTTCTCTTCAATCTATTTATTTTACAATTTGCACTCTTTATTTTTATGTTGATGGTTCATTTTCAAAACAAAAAAACCTATATTAATGTTTATAGTATTTAATTTGATAGTGTTACATTGTTAAACTAATTTATTTCCATTTCAGAAGAAGCATATTGAAAGCCAGATTTTATTTTTAAAGACTGCTTAATTATATTCCTAAATTGATTATATTCCTGTTATATTCCTAAAATTGTTATTTGTGCAACCAACATGGATGCATCAGTTTAGTCAGCTTGAATTCTCATAGGTGGTGTTTGGATGACACATTGTATGAGATTAGGCCACAGTATATGCTAATGGCCGCTTACTGAGAAGCCCTTTCTAACTTTGCATCTTACTAATTTTTATTTGAAACATAATCTGTGTGTATCTGAGTAGAATAAAAAATCCTCTCATGGATTCACACCTTGCTTTTTGGGTGATTAATAGGAGAGGTTGTCTTTTGAGGGAAATGTTACTACAGAACAATAGAAATGAATTCTTTGAAAAGGTGCTTTTAAGGACAAGATGTATTCCATTTTTCCACTAAATACTATCTAAAACAATCGTCAGTCCTTCAAAAACGAGGACAGCGTCTCTGGTGCTCTGTGCGCCTGGGCCCTTTGCGGTGTGCCGGCCCGGCACTGCCTGCACTCGGTCTGTAGGTCTGCAGTGCCCTTCCCCACCGAGCAGGGCCGCACCCTTCTCCCAGTGACACCAGCAAGGTGGTCTGTCTCTGTGTGTGTTAGGGCCCCAAATGTCTCTGTGTCTTATCTACTAAAGCCAAAGAAAAATGTGCTATTATTTTAATATAATTTCTGGTTGTGATAATAGGGAAAATTATCTCTGTAGATTTATGTTGCAACTTTGCTCCAATCTGAGTAAATCAAATATACCCAATACCAAACATATCCAACATACATATTGATATACCCATCGGTAATTCTGCAAGAGTTAAAGGTATTTACAAGCAAACTATTAACCTTTCTCAGGTTTCTGACCCCGGCTGAGAAGCTGAGCCCTGGAGGCTGACTGCCCAGGTCAAGAGTTGGGGCTTTGCCGCTAGCCAACTGTTTGACCCGGGCAAGTGGCTCAGCTCCGTGTCTTGGTACTTGGTCAGTGTTGCCTGTCTTTATTATCTGTCTGTGACACGAGATGTGACAGGTGGATAAACGCCGTGGCCTTTCAGCCCAGCCCTCACTGTCCATTGTGAATGCTCACTGCCTAAGTTGTGCGAGTTCCCGCCTTCCTCGTAGGCTGCAGATCCTTCCGAGGCCCCGCTCCTGTTCTGCTGCTCCCTCTCCTGCTCCTCCGCCTCTCTGGAGCTGCAGAGCCGCACAGCAGGGCGGCCGTACCCTTCACGGGCCGGCACTGCCCTGGCTTCATAGGTGCTCCCCTCTGGCCGGAGCATCGTGACAGCAATGACTGTTGTTTTAGACTTCAAAGAGGGCTGGTGCTAACAGAAAGCAACCATTTGAAAGGGAAATCAGGTCATTTCCCCAAGTTCGTCCATTCTTCAAGGAAGCAAAACTGTTCCTGATAATTCCAAGAGCTGCCCTATTCATAATATGTATGGGGACGTTGATTGACACAGTGGTCAGGTGAGATTTTTGTGGAGTTCGTTGACAGCAGAGTAATCTGGGCTGGACGTGCATCTTTGTGAAAGAGTCGAGGCTCTGAGTCATGCTGATACACACCCTAAACCCACTGTGGCATCGCCACGTTAAGGCTTCTTCTTCTAGTACATGTCTGACATGTGGGCAGGTGCGTGCTCCATCGTCCCTGAGGGACTCCCCCGCCCCAGGAACTGGCTTCCAGGACCGCGGGGATGAGAAATTTGCATGAAAGATTCCCTACTAACTCTCACAGCATCTGCCAGGGAACAATGTAGATCATGTTTCCTTGGCCAGAGCAGTTTAATGGCCTCCCCTAAGTGGAAGCCATCAGGGAGGTACAGCCGTACGGAGGTGCAGGAGGGAGAATTGGGAACACTTAATAAATAGCACCACTGGCTGCCCTCAGTGTGGTTTGGGTGGGAGTTTCCACACCTTTTACATAGTTAAAAAAGAAAAGAACCCAGGAACCTTACAGAACCCTGAAAGCACTGGTAGTGAGGGGCTCAAGCAGAGGAAGAGTGGCCAGAAGGACAGTGGACAGAAGAGAGCGCTCAGGACAGTGGCCGGCAGCCGGCAGCCTGCTGGTGCTGGGGGGCCATGGAGACTGGACAGAGGACGGCCGTGTAGCAACTCGGAAGACACTGGAGGAAGAAAGTCATGGTGTGCCTAGTCAGACCCAGGGCAGATGGGGGCCCCCCGTCGTGGAACAGGGCAGGGTGTGGAGGCACCAGGGCAGGGGTGGCGGAGGCCGAATGTGCTGTTAGGTGTCCTGAAGCACCGGAGAGGCGGTGGTGATAAACTGGAGCAAAAGGACTTCATTGATTGTGTTTGTTTCTGATGGAAAATCCGTGTCACAGAACAAATGTGCTTTCAGTCAAAGCAGAGGGAGCCTTGGTGTATGAAGAGGAAAAGGTGTTGTGTGGGAGAGTAAGTTCCATGGACATGTAGTAGTGACTTAAGTGGATAAACTTAAGATGGCTTAAAGGGAAATTATATATTATTAGGTGGAGAATAGCTACCACATAAAGTAACGCGTAGCCTCTTTGATTCGTAGGGCGTACTTGGTCGGCAGGCAGTCGGTCCGTATCTCCGTTTGCTCCATTATTTCATTTGCTCTCTACCTTGGTCGCAGAGTGAGCCAGAGGGTTGTGAGTGCTGTGAGACTGCCTCACGGTCCTAGGGTGAAGCGCTGCGGTAAAAGCAGTGTGATTTGAGGGGATAAGTTAATGGTGACAGTAACTGAGGTGGTGAAATGGATGCAGTGCACGGCAGGGGTTCAGGACAGTCCCTCAAAGCCAAGAAGGTCGCGGTGTGACCACGTAGGCTCGTGAAGTGTCGAGCAGTGCTGAGGACCCAGCTGGTCCTGGAGACCTTGAGTTTTTGGTGGAGCCCGTATTGTGCACATGGTTTTCTCAGGCCAGGGTCCAGGAGCCTCAGAACAGGAACAAAGTGGGCCAAGAAAGGGCCGGTCTGAAGTTGTAGGTTGTCGAGGTGGGGGTGTCAGAGCAGCGGGCGGGCAGGAAGTCCCTCCGTGTGAGATAACTGCTGCAGGCCCTGACGGGCAAGCGGGTCAGCAGCTGAGGCGCCTGCAGGCCACGGCATCAGACGTCCAAGTGCTCCGCACCCACGGGTCCCTGTCTCTGGGGTGACAGGAGCCTGGCTCCGCCATGTAGGCTGCAGGCTCTTGCGGAGTAGCGTGGCCCTCTCCCCGGATGCGCAGATGCGTGTAGCTGTTCACCCCCTCCAGCAGTTGCTTCACAGTGTGTCCCCTTCAACTTGTCATTCTGCTCAGCTACAGTCCCAAGCCTTATTTTGGCCACTTCTCCTTTTTGCCTTCATTTGGTCTGTTTTGTTCTTCTCTAGTTGCTTTTTTAAAGAAAACTGCAGACTAGAAAGAAGAATGTGATCACGCCCAAACCTAGGCTCAGCAGGCGCTCCCTACTCTTTCATCTTCTCCTGTGGCTCCGCATGACAAGCCACTTTATTCCAAGTATGCATTTTCAAGAAGTAGAAATTAAGACACTTTTTCTAGCTGCTGTCCTAGCTCATTGTCCTCGTCTGTGACACTGGCCTAGACGTCTGGGCTGAGTAGCCTGGGTTGGCCTGTCAACTTCATATCTACCTGCACTGATTCCACCCCCTGGGCTTCCCTGCTAGACTTCCCAAATCAGAAACGGGGGGTTCTGAGGAAGCCTGGGGCCTGCTGCCTGGGGTGGGCACAGTCCCACTCAGATGGACGGAGAGTTCCTGTGTTAACTGATTGTGTCACCACTGAGTGCATGGACTCTGACACACGTCCCACTCCCATCGTCCTTTTAGATTGGCCCTTGGGATTGGCTCCTGAAATCTACCTTGATGATGTATGATCACAGTACACAGCTTTATGCTTATTACAGGAGTCTATATTAGAGTACTTCTTAACTATAGCATGTTTTATCCAGACATGGGGATTAAGAATAAATCCTACAGTACCATTTGATGGAGAAAAGATATATAATAAAAAGAAACTCTTAAAGTTGCTTTTCAGGATTAGAATGTCTTCCCTCACAGTGTTCACCAAGGGCAGATATAAAACAAGGAATGCGATCTACTCAAGTTTGAAATTTTTATTTTAAGACTCTGAACAAATCAAAAGTTTTGATTACTAAGCAATTACCTTTACAATGATACTTGGTGAAAGTTTAAGTTCCAGGAGTGCAGCTTGAGTAATGGGCTTCTTTATAAAATCTAGCTGTAGATATATTTAGAAGATGATACTTGATTACATGTCAGAGGGAAATGATTCTTACAGGAGGTTAAGAAAAATCAATTGTGACAGGTTGCCATTTTCACGCCATTCACAATAATAAGTTGCTCAGAGCAGGAGCTTCAAGGATGAAATGGTAACCCAAATTGCTTCAACTATTATTGTAATCCCTGAGCATATTGATTTGTGTTTCTAATAAAAAGATGCTTTCGAGTGTCTCAGTGACAGACAGGTGATACGTGCCATTATGTGAATCGGCCGCAGCTTGTCTGAGCTGTAAGGGGGTTTCAGGGGGCAGAGCATCAGAGAGCC